TCAGCTTCGCATCGAAGCTAAAAAGTTCTTTGAAATTGAAAAAAATAATTAATTTTGTAATTTAAACTATTGCCCAAATAAATGAGACTAAAATCTCTGAGAAAATTCTTTTGTTAAACAAATTTTCGATCATTAACGTCAAACAATATTTTTATTAAATAAATCGTATTTTTTTATTAATCAAACCGCTTTTTTTTTTTAGTTTATTTAACAAAATATTTATTAATTTGATAATTTTTTTTTATATTTTTGCAAAAATAATGGTTAAATTAACAAAAAAATATTATACATACAGGGCCGTACCCAGTAGATGAGAGGTACTGAGTGTAAATACCTACTGAAATATAAATTATAAAGTTATGGACATTCTTTTTTGCATAAAATATGGAAAAAAATTTTTAAAGAGCAAAATAAAAAAATCATTAAGGAAAGCATAATTGTGTACCCCGGAAGTCACAATTCCTAATTGCACTGATTTTAATAGTGCATTTGTCGATTTAAGAAGAAGAAGAAAGAAGTAATTAAAAAACTCCATAAAACATATAAAGAAGCAATTAAAACTAAAAAAAATACATAGTAGCTTACGAAAACATTATTATAATAATGTTAAATAGGTTTGAGCTAACAATTTATATTTGCTTACTATATGTTTGCAAAGTGTTTCACTTATCATTAACCACTTAATTAATCGAAAAGTAAAAATAATATTGACAAAAGCTAACAAAAAAAAATCATCAATATTTTTTTTGTTTTAAGAGTATTATAACTTTTTATTTAAAAAATACTAATCCTAATGAATTTTTAGTAAAATATAAAAATAGTTAATAAACTTTTTATGAAAGTTTGTGATCAACCTAAGTGCTGAAAGCGTTTGAATGTAACCTACGCATGTAAAAAATATTTGTTCAACTAAATTTCAGAAAATGTCCCGGATCGTCTGAACAATTTTAACCTATATCAATTAAAAGCTTTTGAAGTGTTCTGTTACATAAAAAAGATTGACTGATGTTATCAATATTCCAGAACGTCAGCGTTTTTTAAATCAATCTCAAATTAAATATTTTTAAGAATACTATAAGATAAAAAAAATACGATACGTTGATCGTATTGATCGATTAATGATTAATTTGATTTAAAAAGTTACTTTTTCAAAAAAAAAAAATTTCGCATTCAACATTCTAATATGTGCTTAGTATATCTTTTTAACTGTTTTAATATTTTAAACTATTCTAAAAAAAAAACAATAAAATAAGTACCTATAAACACTATAGATTGTATAATGTGTATCAATGGTATTCTTTCGTTTTACTTTTTATAACCATAAATATATATATGACTAGTAATTTAGTTTAAGTTATACATTATAAATTAAGTCGTTTGATGTTAGAAGTGATTTTGATTTTTTTAAATAATAATATAAAGTTTATACTTTAGAAATAGTTATGAGTGTTTAGAGAAACTAAAAACTGAAAATGAAGGACTGATACTAAATCAAAAGGAGTAGTTTTTTCTTTGCTTTTTAAGTAATCAAATATTTCTCGAATTTGAAATAGTAAATATTTATTATGTCTATCCCTTGTAAAAATACCAACTTAATTTTATTTAATGACAATATGCATGTTTAACTAGTTCATATAATAGAAAAAAAGCCTAACGACAAAAGAAGTGAAATAAGAATTTTTTAACCGAAAGCTTAAATTTCCATTTTTAAAAACCTAACTGTAACCTAAACCTCAAAAAAATATGCTATAATTCGAACCGGAACTGCTAAAAAATAAAAGTAACATTACCTGTTGAAGATTGATTCTGTTGAATTTTAATTTATAGTAATAAAAATAAATAAGTTTATATATATATATATATATATATACAAAGAGAATATATGAAAATCGATCTCAAGACAATTGGGTACAAGTACTGACGCCATCAACTTGCTCCCAAATAAATAACTAATTTATTAAAAAAAAATTTCACGTTATTGAACTATAAAAGTGTTAATATTCTCTAATGTGTTAATAATAAAGTTATAAATAATAAATTTACCAAACAAATTATTTAAAATTTTAAATGGATCAATGATAAAACTTTCCTTTAGCCCTCCTAAATTAAATGATGTCGAACAAGCTTACTGATGATACAACATATATTTCAAATAGATTAGTTATATCTAAAATGCTGGTAACAATTTCAAAAAATACTGTAACGAAAGTGGTTATAAAGGGTTTAAACAATTATTGTACAAATAAATAACTTGTAAAAACTTAAAAGTCAAGACGGATGATGTTCAGTAAACATCACTAATTAAATTCAATGTACAACTACACTAATTTATTGCTGTAACTCAGAAATAAACATTATTGTTCTTACTTATTTCATTTTCTTTTTTGACATTAGCAGACACAAAGATAAGGAAGAGTTTGTTAAATGTCAAATATACATAGCCATAAAAAAACATCGAATTTTATAGTATATAAATGTCTAACCACTATAAATTTTAATTAAATACTCTTTGGCGTAAAACATATCTTACATAGTAAATTACACAAGTTAAAAGCTTTATAATTTATTGAACTTGAATTAGTTTAATAAATTGGTATTTATAATATTTAAATGATTTTTTTAAATATTATCTTAGATAAACAAAAAAATGTATAAAGTGTTATATATGTTGGTCATACTTTGTTTATTAAAATAAAAACAGTAATTAACTACAACTTGATGAGTTAACATGTAACATGTGTTTTATCTACATTTGATTTCAACATCAAATATATTAGTTTAAAATATAGTCGATTTCCTTTCAAGAATTAAAATTGATCAACTAAAAATCAAAAACGTAATGATGACAAGTACATTAGTTTAACTTTTATTTATAAAAATTCACAATTCCCATTAGACTCATCTAAAATAAAAATTGAAACAAATAGAGTCCAAATTACGTCGACAGTTTTATGCGTAACAAATATTGAGGTAAGGAGTGACGACTTTGCACTTAATAATTAGCTAAAATCATATATCATTTACAAGAATGAAATATCCCACGAACTAGTGTATCTATTGTGGATAAATCATGTGATAATTCATGTGATAAAAAATTATCTAGTCGAACTAAATTTATGTCATTTACATGTAAAAAGTATAAAAAGCTTGGTATGGTCAAATTTTTGGTGACCAACAATTGACAAAAACATTGATAATATTGTTTGTAATTAATGTACGAAACTAGATGTTAAATTTAACGTGCTCTATTTGCCTCCTGTTTACCACAGATTAATTTGTAAGGTATATTAAGAGGTAAAATACTATTTTTATATATTACATATATATATATATATATATATATATATATATATATATATAATACATACAAATTAACTAAAATTAAAAGAAAACTTCCTATGGCCTCCTAAAAAGAGGAGACTTAAAAAACTAATATTATATTTGAACTCGGAAACCACAAAAACATATAAATCATCCTATTTTACTACACCAAAGAAGTTCTAGCTCATAATAATTTTGTCCGGATAAAATTAAATCAGAATGTTATATGGAGAAGATTTGATGACCATATTTGACCATTAAACCAAATAGATAGCTCATTATATCCCATAAATAAAAGTACTGACATAGATAATAATGATTATATAGAATTAACTGTATCACTTAGCAATACTAATTCAATAAAATGTCCTAGAACTGTTATGGCTAAAAACTTCATTCAGCGTTTCTTTCCCATCGGTTATAAATAATAAAAACAGGGCTTAAACTATGTACACATTTTTGTTAATATGAATGAAAATCTTATCTTGGTATGAATGGTAAATTGTAAGTTGAAAACTCACTTCCTCATTAAATTGTAATAGTTATCTTTATGTTGATATTTATTTAAAATTTTGTTGTGTTATAATGTTGTATAAATCAGTCTGTATAAAAGTTGTATAAAAGTTCTGCTCGCTAGTGCGACTACCAGCATGAACATAATTAACTGTTATATTGTTAATCAATATACACTCATTATCTTATTAAACCATTTTATGTTATCTTTCATATCAAATACAATAGGAGAGAAAATAAGTTCCTAGAAGATGAATAAAATGAAAGATTAATACAGGTTCTCGGTTAAATTTATTATCTTTAAGTTTTGTAAAAACTTTAAAACTTGAAAGCAAATTAATTAAAGTATTATTTTTATTTAGAAAAATATAATGGTTTTAAAATACTTTAGGAAAATTACCATTGAATACTCTGTAAGTAATAAAAATTTGACTGTTCGATTTTTATCACTAATAAAAATATAAATCCGCTATTAGGGGATTAATAGACGGTAAATTTTGTATTTCTAAATAGGAAAAATGTGAATTTTGTTGAGAAAATAAAATGTTATCGTTTATTTTGATGATTATTGAATTTTAATTAAAACTAGAGAAGAACATAATATAATACTAAAAGCAGTGGCATGCGGTGATATTTTATGCTGGGTAAGCGCTAAAATAAAATTTCAAGTTAAAACAATATAAAGGTATTTTATTAATAAAAATTAATTACAGTCTAAAAGTTATTTATAGATAAAATCCATTCGTCTTTCTTGTTTCAAAAATTCATTTATAACTTTATCATAAAATTCCGGATTATTTTTTTCTTTATGCAGAAGTTCTTAATAATAAAATAATAATAATAATCAAAGTATATTAATAACGAAAATAATCCGATATGTATCGTAAAAATATTGGAATTCCGTTTTTAAAATTACCGATAAGCGCTTGGCATAGCGCTTTCAACCGTCACGTAAAAACATGTATATCCCCTTCTACCGCAACCGATCATTCCTATAAATAACGATACGGGCTAGGCAATCCAAAATACAAACACTTCTGTAAAGAAATTGCCTATACGAAAAAAATTCATTTACTTTCTTTCAAAGAAACCTAATAAATTTTTTTTAATTGAATACTCAAATAAGAATTAATGAATAGTTGTAATTTTATTGTATAAGTCAAATTGTCAAATTGTCATTTAACATTATAAATGTTAATCTTTTTATTTCTTCCTTTTTGGCTGGGCATGCGCCGCTTACCTAGCTTGCCCTGACCGCACGCCACTGATTAAAAGCAATAATAAATAGAGACAAAATGTTAAATATTAAGTTTAACTTAGAAAAATTACAATACTGCCAAAGTTCAGTCGAATTTATAGACCACGTTATTAATGATTTAGGTATAAAAAAAGATCCAGATCAAGTTAAGGCTCTAATACAATTAAAAGAGTCAAAAAAGAGAAAGTCTCTTGAAAGGATTATAGCATTTTCAACTACTTCAGAGAATTTAAAACTAATATGACAGAGAACATTATCCCACTATGTGAAATGTTATAAAACATAAAGTAGCATTTAAAATACTAATATATATATCCCACTCCCTGTTTTAGCTTACTTTGATCCTATATCAGAAATAGTCATTTAAAAGAGATTCGTTAAAAAATGGTATAGGATGCTGCTTGCTCCAGAATAAAAGATTATTACAGTTGCATAAAATTCCTTGTACAAAGTAAAGCAAGATTTATTAATTAATTTATAACATAAATCTATTTTTAAAATTAATCAAACAACAACTTTCGTTGATATATTGATAAAATAAAAATTTCAAAGGTACTAATTCCTAACTTTTCTTATTACCAAGGCTTGATACCGATCAACCCACTATGATAAAAATAGTTATGAGTTAAAGATACACTTGAAGAGGAGGTAGTAAAAATTATCATATGAATAGACTCCCTGAAATTTTGTTTATGTGAAAATAAGTACTTAAAATTTTATCTTATTATAGTCGATTTTTACCGGTCATCGATAACTAAAAAAATCATAGCTGGTTATAAGCTGTAAACATTTAATTTCAATTTTCTTAATTTTTTAAAAAACGATCTTTTATAACAGCTTTTTACAAAAACGGTTATCTTTATCGGTTACAGTTTTAAGCAAAATTCGTTTTTTACCATGATCGATTAATCCTTTTTTTTTTATATTGGTTTTCAGCTCTACTTATTACTCTTTTATTGTGCGTAACAAAACATATCACTGAATATTTTGTAAATCGTTTTACTAATAATTCTTTAACTAGGAATTTCCTTCATGGATTCACTAGTTAGTTACTATTAAAATAATTTACATTTTCAATCTTATTAATACTTACGATATTGTAAAATACAGTAATATACCATTTTGTATACGTACAAATATCAATAAAATTATTATTTTGTTTATATTATAAAAATTATCAAAAAAATTGTAATATTTTTCCTCATAATTTACACCAGCTAATTTACATCCTATGTTCAAAAATTAAACAAAAAAAATTTCGATAAACATTTTATAACTGAAATAGTATCGAGCATTTAATGCTTTACAGATTAATATGCAAAAAAGGTACTTACAATAAATTTGACTGACAATTAGCTTTCATTTTTTTAGGGAGATTTACAATCACTTATTTTTTCTCATGCTTTATTAGTTATATATTTATTTTAATACAAAAAATACGTTCTAAGTAAGGAAGTCATATTTTTTTTATTCTTCATCTTGCTGTTTTACGAAATAGAAAATATGATAAAATAATGTTATTATGTAGTTTTTATAGAAGGACAGTTTGGCTTAATTTAATTTTCTATAGTTTTTGATAAAATAAGTATCTTATTTAAAATTTATCAACCTGTATTATTACCATTATAGCTAATAATATATTATGATCCACCTAGACAGGATTTTTTATCTGGTTTTATATATATTTTAGTTGTATACAACACTTTTATCTTAAAGTATTGTATATTTTAATTTATTAGAAAATATATTTAGCGTTAGTTGAGATAATTTATTTCTACACATTATGTGTTAGTATAGAATTAGTTTATAAAATTAAAGTTTACGGTATTAAATATAGAAATAATTCTTTAAAACCTTGATCTACTCTTAATATAGAGATTATTGAAAAATCCAGAGGAAAGTGTTCTAATTCTGTAAAAATTTGTGATGTTTGCACAGTTAACATAGCTCTTTCGTTTAATTTGTAAGCCGTTTTATTTTTACAACGTCCATAAGTGAAACTGACACCAGTACTTTGTTCTGTCAAGTCTGTTGCTTCAAGAATATTAACTTCTATAAAACATAATATAATAATAAATATTTGATGGAGTACATACATTAATTTCCAGTTATAATAGTAATAATTGCGTAATATTTAGTACAGAAAAAACATATCGAGGGTCAAATATAATAAAATAGCATAAAATATTATTTTTTCTTTTCTAATTTAAGTACATATCTGTGTTTAAAATCATTCATAAAATAATCGATTTCAATTAGCTGAGACGAAATTAATCAATGGGGTCATTCTATATGTTATCAAACACATTTAAAGAACGTATTATGGATAAATCATGTCTAAATTATAGTTTAATACTGGATCTGTATTGTTTTACATATAGATGCGCACAGAATAAATACACATATTTTAGATTTATTCATTTTTTAAATCAGCACACGTTTTATTACTTTAGGAAGTTGAATGCGATAACCATGTAACTTTTAAACAGTTTGGTTTTTGGTAATGCTGTAATGAGTTCAATGTATTTTTACATCTTTTTACTTTAATTAAGAGTTAGTTTCGTAGGATAACAATTGAACAATTAAGACAATTTTATCAGTACACGAGTCAATTTAATTGAAAATTAGTTGAAACTTGAACAAAAAATTTAGAAATATTATTTTAAATTAAATAATGTATAGGTAATTTTTATTATTACAACTAAAAATTTTCATAATTGTACTTGCTACATTATAATTTATATTTTATTTTATAGAACTTCATTGAAATGTTAGAAGTAATGTAAAAAACGTCATTTACAATTTTTTTTTTACAATAGCTAGATCTCCAGACACAAAAAAATAGAGCAATAATTATTAAGAAAAACATTTATTTATTTATAATCCATCTAGTTAGAGTTGCAAGAAAACAGTTTAACGATTTTTTATTTTTTAACAGCTTTTTCTATGTTCAAATGTATTTCAAATGTGTTAAAACATTTTTTAAAATAAATATATAAATTTTAAATATATTTAAATTATTAGCAAAATATTACTAATATAACATTGTGCTGTATAAATATCATATATTTAATCTATGAAATGTATTTAGGATATTAAGTATCTATTAATTCTAGTTAACTTATTATAAAAAAAGAGCATTTTTAATTATTCAACTTCAAATTAAAAATTTTTATTATTTAATACTATTAAATAATAATGAACATGTTCTATTAATTATTAATGCAGTCATTTTTTTAAAACTAAAACAGAATAGTCAGATCTTAAGTGTTTTTTATAAAATAACCACTAATATTTCTCTTAAAATAATTATTTTGTAAATTTTTTTTGGTTTTGTTGAAAAATAATGATTTTTTGTTTTATAAATAGTTAAGTATTTAAAATAACTAATGGAATATGTTATTTTTATCATGGCCCAACATAGCACTCCCACTCCCACTAAGGTAAGAAAATTTTTGTAACTTCAAAAATCCTGATGAATAAGTTGTCTCAGCCAGTCATTTTTTTAGTTGTATCATTTTTTAACATTAAATCTTTTAAAAGTTGTATGTAATCATTTAAATAAAATGAAATAGATACCCTTACAAGGGAAATGAAATAACTTAAAAATATTTAGCAAATTATAAATGAAGAAATAAATACTATTTAACACACCTAAACATTTTTTTTCTACATTAACATTATAGTGAAATCTAACACTGTAAAAGGTAAGGAAATTTAACAAATAAAATAAAATAGTTAAAATTATTATAAAAATAAATTATCATTACCTGAAACTGAATAATAACAGATTCTTAAAGTATAAATTAGTAATAAAATATTTTAATGGTATTATAACTATTAAATTATGTTAATGAATAAGTCCTGTTTATTATAATTACTGTAGATGTAACTAGAACTATATTATTAATAAGTAAATATTGTCATGTTATTAATTAATAACTACAAACACAATTTTTTTCTTAACTTGACTAAAATGATTTTATTATGTTTGATAAAAGTTGTAAAAATTTTAAAACTATTCCATACAGTTCTACCAATTGTTTTGATCTTTAAGTTGAGTCTGAGTGTAATTTTTCAAAAAAAAATATGAACTCTTGAATATAACTTTTTGGTTTAACTTACAATTATAAAAGTAATTTTATAAAGATTTATAAATATTTGTTTTGTACATTTTGAGTAAACATTAAGTAAAAACATTTCTGTTAAAATAGGAAAATGTAGAAATTTTGGAACAAATACTTTTTTTTATATAATTTTCCAGTATTTTTTATTTTGAAATAATTGATTAATAAAATAATACAATCTTTTATAATTTTTAATGATAAGTACGTTGTTTTATTGAGATTTTATGTATAACAATTGTATATTTAATTATTTTTATAATCATAAATTAAGGTTTACAAGCAATTTTGCTATATATGATATTTAATTTATACTTTATACACATAAACTTACTGAGTTAATCTAAGAATAACTATTTATCGACGGATATATTACATAATTTAGGAAAATATTTATGAAGTAAAATCACACATTTACTCATTCCTGTAAAACAGGCGCTAACTAATATTTTAAAAGTAATGATAAGCTTATTTTACTCATAATTATTATAAAGCCATATATTCTTAAATCCTTTATAAATTATTATTTTTTTTTAAATAAAAAATTCGCAATAAGTTGTTTGACGTATTAAGACTAATAAATAGGGGATGTTCAGTAACTAAGTAAATTGTTTTTATTGTTTCAATTTGTTAATAATATTTTATTTTTGAATAATCTTTTTAAGACGTATTCATTTTTCAATAAATTGTATATTATTGCGTTTATTAGAAACAGTTCCAATAGCCGGTTATTTTATTCGGTTACTTAATTACTTAGTAAGTTGATGTGTATAAAGTCAAATGCGAAAAGTCAAAAACTGAAATTTTTGATGGGAAGGGGGAAATATATTTTTAAATATTTGGTTTTACTGTCAACAGATCCAGTGTTAAGTTAAGGTGACCAAGATCCTTAGTTAAGTTACCGTATTTTTTTGAAGGCTTCGCCATAGGTGCTACAAATAGGAGCTTAGTCCCACACCCAGTTAATGAATTAACTCACCACAAAATTTAAAAATTATGTATATTACATGTATAGTGTTTTAAGATAGAGAGAAAATACAATTAAAAAATATTATTCAAATGGTGCAAAAAAAAAACATCATAAATAAAAGATATTTTGGCAGTTTTATGTATTATAGATATAATTAAGTGATATTTAATAATAACTTAATAATAATAAAAAAAAACGAACCTAAATGCCATTAAACTATAATAACAATAATTTCAATTTTAAACCTTAACATTCTTAAATATTCATAATACAATTTAATAAAATTCCATTTTTTTATATTTTATTAAAAGTTATAAATTTTGTAAATTTTAATAATACACAATGGTCATAAAAATAAAAAAAATAAAACAATACTGGAGAAATATATAAAAAACAATATTTGTTGCGAAATTTTTAAAATAAAGATAAAATAAAAATCTTGTAATTTTACAAAAAAAATTTATATTTGAAATTTTAATTTTTTTTTTTGAAAGTTGACACTTAAACCTAACTTAAAAATCGTTTAATTTTGATGAAACATTCCATTATTTTGCACAAATCCTATTAAACACCATTAAATAACTATAAGACAGTTAAGATAATTATCTAAAAATGTATATGTAATATAAAAAATCTGAGGTTTTGGAAATTAGCGTCAAAGTTCTATCTGGAATTTATATAAAAGACACTGATGTTAACACTAAAAATTTTGATGTACAAACATGATATTCCATTTGTATCAACTGTAATGTTATAAGGTTTCGTGTTTTTTTTATCAAAAGTGATTACTAAAAGTAAAATTTTGAATAAAAAAAATAACTGAATTTTAGCTTCGTAAAGAAAATTTTAAAATTAAAAGACTACAATTTGAAAAATTAGGACATGAAAATATATTGGCTATACATAGACGTGTAAAAAACAACAATATTAAAAATATGGTTTGACTCTGAATATGCATTAGAATAAGTAGATTTTCAATACCCAATAGAACGGTTTTATCTTTCTATTAAAGTTTAATTATTTAGCCTCAGTTTTTAATAAAATTTAGAATACTTACTATTTAAGATTAAGAATGAGCTAAATCTCAAATAAGGTAATAAATAGTAAGAGACATATAGCGTGTAAGTGTTTATTGAAAATTAGTTTTAACCTCAAAAATATTCGATAATATAAACCAATCATCATTTATTAATGTTGTTTAAAACAAACTATTTTTAACAATAAATTAAAAAATACTCTATTAATATATTTAAGCGGTATAATGTATAACAATACAACTTAATGTTATACAACAATTCTTCATAAATTACAAAAAATTTATTATGAAACTCAAACAAAATTTATAAAAAAAAAAAGTCTTATATTTGTCTTTTATAAATGTATAATGTAACAAAGTTTTAAATCATCTTCGTACGTTTACCAACCGGGCATTGCCTCGACAATAGTCTGCTGTGTCTGGCGGAAGATAAAAAAGAGATATTTAAGCTAGTTTAAATTTTAGAAGCCATTTTCCACAGCTTTGTGGAAGAGCTTTACCAATAAAATCCAAAAGAGTGTGATTTTCTATACTAACTGTAGATTGATTCATATAACTTTAGTAAAAATCATCAAATTGATTAAAAGAATTCTATTTTCTCAATTTTTAAGAATATATACTTTTTTTTAAATATACCATCTATGCATATTTATGCAAAATACTTTTAATGTTCCAAGCCAGCCAGGTGTTCAGCGACGACTCATATTAAAAAAAAAAAATGTATGAATTAAAAATTTTTTTTTTATACATAATTTAGATATATTTATTTTGAAAATTAAATCCTTTACGCTCACGAGAGGAATTAAAAATACCAACTTTTGTTGCTATTTTTAATTTAGACTATTGTTAATCTTTTCAACTTAACTATAAAAATGTTCCGGAAATACTGCACCCTTTTAACATATTTTTAGTTAAAGCTTATGTTACACAAAATTTAGAATAAATTGTCCCGACGACTTGTCTTCTGAATGTAAACAGTTTCCAGAGTTAAACAAAGAATATTATTTTTGTGTAAAAATTCTACGTTTTTCATGTCGTTATAATTTAATACTCCATTTTTTTCCCTATATTTTAGGTCTAACAGAACATAAAATAATCATATAGAATATGAGATAATTACCACCTCATTCTAAATGAGATTAATAAGGCACTTAAGTACCTCCATTTAACAAAAATTTTTATAAAAAATAATAAAGATTTAAGTGTTAGTTGATAATGTTAGTGTCTTTTTTTTAAATTATTGAATATCAATTTCAATTAGTTTTAATTACCGTAATAAGTATTTATTTATGTATTATTCTTATAAATCATGATATAATTAAGGAAATATGAATTGATGTTGCTTTTTAAATAATCCAAATATGTCACGTCTTCACTGTCCTAGGTTTTTTTTTAAATTATATAAAAAAAAATGAAATATCGATATAGGTACAGAAAAAATTATGAACATTTTCTATGCATATTTTTTTAATTTTATATTCTTTAACAACAATTGTTTTTTGGTATAAGTGCATTATAACTTTTTTTTGTGTAACATTTAAATATATTATAACGTTATTTTATAATAGGGCTTAACATTATTCAACATTTTGTCACTTAATAATTAAAAGGTTCTCATATAAATTTTAAGAGAGCGATTTTTATCTCAAAGTGTTTCTTTTTGCAACCTTCCATTAGAAATCATTAACATGTTAACTATAAGTATATAGTTGTACTAAGTGTAATGAAATTTGGTTATCAATTTTTTGTTAATTATAAGCTGAGTGAATGATAAATTTCTATGATATATGGTTTATAATAAAAAAGTTCTTCTTGTAAAACATTTTCGTTTTGATTAATAAAATATTTTATTATTTAGAACCTTTATAATTTGAAAAAATTAACGGCAAGGGTCAGTGATACCAACATTTGTAACTAAATATGAGTTAATGAATTACCAATTAAAATTAAAATTAATTTAATAACATCACAAATAAATTTAAATATCAAAATGTTCTTAGTCGATTTACGATTGATGATTTAAGATATAATTAAAAAAAAATTCAATATAAATATACTTAGTTATAATATAATTGTAATGAAATTAAATACTAATTATAAAACAAATTACATAAATAATAAATCCCATAATTATTAAAATACTTTTTCATTCCAAGGATATGAAACATTAGCTGTATAGAACTTCCTCATTCTTATTTATCCCTCAAAATAATATAGTTCCAACTAGAAATTCTAAACTAACCTTTTTATTTTTATAACATCCTGGATAATAAATATTTTATTGATATTTTTCAGTATAATTATGAAGCGTAAAAAATAGCTAGTCTATGAAAAATAACCATTTTACAAAAAAGTCGCATTAGAAACTTTTCATTCTAAGGTAACAATTTAAACATTATACAATTTTTATATTTAACTTTTTTTTAATTAAAGCGTTATTCATTTTTTTTTTTATTTAATGTTTAAAAGATATTTTATTTTTATTATGTTTTAAATTTAATAATTATAAGTTTGAATGCTTTGGTTTTATAAGACATGCATTATAATGCATTTTGACATATTTAACATTCAACATTTTGAAATATCTAATGCATTAAACAGTCTCTATTAACATTGTATCGTTTTTAAACAATATCCGTAACATATTTGTAAATAATGACCAGGTTACTAAGTTTAAAAAAATCTATACACGTTTAAAAAAATGTCAAGAGGAAAAAATGTTATGATGTGTATTACAATGACGTTGACGTCACCGCTTATTTGTTGCTTTTAAAATACTTGCGTTTCAAATGATAAATGATCCACCTGATTATTAAACATGTATCCCTTATTGATCGATTCATAAATAATTTATCGCATACTATAAGGGGATGCTTTTTCATAAAATCTATAGCCCATTTGATTGACGGGTAAAATGACACTTAACATGTGCAAAAAATATTATTTTATATAATAAATGCTAGCAAAATAGAGGAAAAGAGCAATTTAACATTAAATATTATGCTCTCGTATTAAAATAGTTCAACATGTCTAACTACACTGTAAAAGTTAGTAGATAAACTAATTTGGGAAAATGTTTATTTAATTTAATATATAAATGATGTATTAAATTATATATAAAAAGCATTTTTAGGTCAACTCAAGTTTTATTCGTTCAAAAAAAAAAAAAAAAAACCCAGCACAGTGGGGATGTGGCATAGTGTGGTCAAGTATAATGATATCTGATAGTGATTAAAATCACTATCATAAAAAAGGCTTCAATGTAAATCTGTAGATAGTGTTTAATTTTAAAAAATTGATGGATCTTTCCAAAAGCTACATGATCTCCTATTTTTTATTTATATCCTGATTACAAGTTTTATGATTTATAAGTGTAATATATAAATAAATATTTGTAATATATAAATATATAAAAGGAAATGGTGTTACTTAAAAAAAAAGTATGTCGAATGAAAGAAGAATATAAATATTATTTCTCATAAACAAATTGTATTGATCCATACACTTTTCAAAAAGTTATATTATTATAAAGTTAAAAATGTAAAAAATAAAATTGAGAATTTTCACACAAAACTAGCATTTGGTAACTATTTTCACCGTGAAGACAAAATAAAGTCTGAAAATTTATTTTCCATAATGAAGTATATTACATTATCTTTAATTTAAGATATGTATATAAGTATCAGAGTTTCCGGAACACTTTCAAAAATAAAGTTGAAAAAGTTTTACTTTCTATATGCATTTTTAAGTTTTGAACAGATGGTATTCGCATCGAAGCTAATATATATATTAACAAATACATTTATTAATAAATAACAAAATATTAATTATCATTTGAAATTTAACATTCACGTTGAATAAAAATTAACTTTAGTTACGATAAGAAAATATAACAGTATATAATGGTGAACTCAGGATTTGTATTTATTTTTTTATTAAAAACTTCATAACTGTGTATTTATGATATGTGTGTCAGGTAGATTATTTTTAAGAAACTATTTGAAATAATATAATTGTAACATGAAACCAGAAACTTAACTTAAACTCCTACAGTTTTATTATATATTGTACAATAAATTGAACAATTTTAATTTTTATAATTTTTGAACCAATATGGATAAGAAACACTAAATTTTACACCAAAAAATTTTAGTTCATGTTTCATAATATATACAAGAGGGCCTTGCGAAAAATCAATTTGTATAAAACAATATAGAAATGTCAATTTTTAAAATTTGTTTTTTTCGAGTAATGTTTTAACGTAATATAATTATGGTAATTTAATTTTTGTCATATTAAATAATCATCTAAATTTTTATAGGTTTAATTTAATAATGCCATTTATTTGTATAAACATAACGAATTAAAAAGAAATCTAATATTTAAAAATACACATCTTTAACATATCAGTAAAAATATAACAATAATAATATAATAATATTTTTTTGTTTTCTTATAGTGTTAATAATGAAATAGTTAAATTTTTACATACCATTTGAAAATTTAGCCAAAATAGGAAAAATTGTGAAATATGTAAAAGAACAATAGCACAGTATTGGAAAAAGTAAATAATTTTGTTTAGACAACATGGTATAAACGTCTTAAAATGAAAATATCAAACTATTCAACTTTTTTATTTCGTGAAAAATTGGATTTGGTTGTCCTTACGACATAAGAAACTATCGCGTTCCTGCATTTATGTGATCTATGTTGGACCACAGATATGCGATGACTAATTATTTTTCAGTAAGACGTTATAAGACAATAATGTAACTTTATAAGTAGGAGCAGATTGTTGATAATGTTATTTTTTGATAGTACTATTAACTATATTAGTTAATTGAAACACCTTATTCCAAAGATTTGTGAAGTGGGTATCACTTATTATTAATATTTATTTATTTATTATTTGATATTATTCTTGGGTGTGATATTAAAATAATTGTCTATTATTCATATTTTAGTTTAAAAATTAATTTTTAAATTTTTTTTCTAAGATAAAAGTAAACTAAAAGATAAATTTAAACAAATTCAAATCTTGAAATTTTTTTAAGCTTTTTTCTTTTTGTAACAAATGGCCTTCTTTACTACTATTATCACGATTAAAAAATTATGAATATAATAATCGAAAATAACTATTTTATAAGCACTAAATAAATAAATCGTTTTGAATTAATTTTGAAGTTTTGAAGTCTCGAGGAAATAAAAATTTTAAAAATATGCAAGAATTTTTGTTACAATTGGTATGTATCATTGTATCAAAAATGAGCACTATAAATTAAGATTAAGAATTATTCTACAATCGAGCTAAATAAACTCTGCATAAAATAACTATGAAGATGTTAAGAAATTTTGTCAAAAGGTTCAATAAAAAGTAGTTACTAAATTTATTTTAATTATAGTAAAGTCTTTAAATTATAGTAAAGACTTTAAATAAAGTCAAACATAACATAGTCTTCGAAAATACTAGCATATGAATTGATACATCTGTTACTCATCTACAGTGTGCACATTTATTTTAATGAACCGACCACCAGTAAAGAAATTCATATTTGTGAATTGAGTGAGATCGCCATGTATGATTTTCATATATGCGTGATATGAGAAACATTAGTTAAACTAAATTAGTTTAATTCATAATTTAAATAATACATATAACATATAGAATTTTCTGAACTTGAAATAAAATATTATTTTCTGGATATTTGATGTTTATTAATGTGTTAATGTTTAAATGATATTTGAACTTTATGAAAAAAATCGCTTCGTTATACTAAGTAACTTAAAAGAAAAATTTCTAGAAGAAAAATACAATTTTACAATTTAAAATCCAAAGCAAAGCTCTAGCGAGTTCAAATCAAATTATTAAGTCATTATTTTTTTCAGTAATCTAATTATAATTGAAAAAGTTACTTTTTAACTTATATAAATTGTTACATCAAGTTATTCTTATACAACAACGTTAAATCAAGTTATAAATTTATTTTTGACTTAAATAATTGTGAGATTAAAAAAAATATGTTAGTTAGCTTTTAACTTTATTTGAATTACTCTTTCCAAAATTAACTTGATGATTTTTAAGAAATAAGTATAACTTGCTCAACCTTGCAATCAATCATCTTTTCTAAAACTCCGAAGACATAGTTAAAAAGCAAAAAAAAATGTCTTTTTCACAACTAAAAATATAAAATAAACTAGGCAAAAAGTTTTTGAATTCACCGTAATATTAAATGTTATAGGGCTGATTAGTTGATAATGTAAAAGAGGAAAAAATAGTTCAATATCAAAATAGTTGATCGTAAAAATAACAAAATATGAGTAATAATTACATTAAATAAAGTCACTTTAAACATTTTAATTGTCAAACTAAGTTGTTACATTAGACCACATAACTTCTTATAATATTCATCTACGAGTAACAATTGTAACATTATGTTTGTACACATAAAATAATTTAAAATAATGTACATTTTTTACATACAATTATATTATCCTTAATAAAAAAAATAAATCTTAGTATAAAGAAATTAATTAAATCACTCATTATTAATTGATTCGTAAATATTATTTATTATTATAATAAAATCTTACTGTCTTAAACATTTCAATTAAGCACTCGAACAGGGTGGGCTTGTGTTTAATATATTAATAAAATTGATTAGATAAACTAGCCAGAACAATGCATGTCAATGAACTTAATTTGTTAGCCACTATGCTATTTAATTAAATGCCAGATGTAAAGTCAAACGTCTATTAAAAAATTAATGGGTAAATTTAATATCTTCTATTTTCAGTTTAATTCTTTTACTGTTTACTTATAACAGTTGAGGTATACTTGAAAACTCTATTGAAATAAATATTAATTAAATCTGCCTATTAAATTAATATAAATATTATCTACATAAAAATTACATGATTTTTGTTATGTACATTTTATAATTTACTCTTCAAAATTTTATTAAAAATACAGTTTTAAAATGTAATTTAATTAATTAAAGAAGTACAATTATATATTACAATTATATAAAGCAACTGTTAACTTTAAAAAATATGGTGGTAATAATTTCCTACTTAATTAGTACTTTAATAAAGTTCCACTTTTTATTTATTTTTCAGAACCGTGATCACCAACACTGAGTTTATAATGACTCATAAAATTAGGTACAATTCATCAAAATATGATAGTTATTTGTAATAAAAAATTTATCAATAAAAATTTTTAATGTGATGTAGCACCCTCAATAAAAAAAATTACGTCATTAGATTATAAATTAATCGATAAAAGCCTGTACACAATGGTTCAATTTATATTGAAAAGTATCTTCGATTTTCAATACTCAGATGATAATAAATTTTATGTTAAATAGTTAAGGTTTAATATTGAAATTAGATTTTTTTATGAGAAAGTTACAAATCAATTTTTGTATTATTTGTAAGAAATCTGAGAAATTTTACGTCCAATATACTAATATTACCAATAGCGCTATTTTATGAGATAGAGAGAGACATTTGCTTCTCTCTTATAAAATTTAATTAATTAGCAACCGTAAAAAAAAAATCAATGTGAAAACTATTACTAATAATACTTAACTAACTATTAACAAGATTAATACTAAGTTAATAGCAATTTTATCTTCAACGCGAACCTGAGAAGAGATTTTACCATCACATGTGATTTTTGTGTCTGTTGATAAATATTCTCAGCTCTCATTAATCCAATTCCGATAAATACGTTATTAAAATCTGAATTTTATCTAGTTAAAGATAAATCCCTCAAAAATTAATAAAATTTTCTGATTTTTTTTTTTTTTTTTGTAATTAGGAGAAATATCTCAACAAATTAATATCGTGAAAACCATTAAAACTTATATCAAATTGAAAACGTACAATATTATTTTATAAAAAGCAAACCATTTAATACTATACTAAAGAAATGACTCACTGTACAAACTATATTACAAAACATTGTAGCTAAGATGGATCTTGAATGATCACACAAAATCTACTTTATTAAAATCTATTTTAAACAATTAAAGCGTTTGGTAATCTTAAACCACCTAAAACTAATTTTTTTCTAAACTGGTTTACAACTGTATATATGATGTGGTATCGTTTTTATTGAAAAACGAATTTATCTTAATATATTTTAATATTTCTATTAATTTATATAATTTTCTTAAGTTCACAAATGGAACACTTGAGGTAAACATTAAGTATTTCAATTCAGAATATTTACCTAAATAGAATAATATCTTGTGTTAAGTAAATCTTAGTATACTTCAAATAATTAAAGTGCTGATGCATAATAATGTATAACATTTATTTTGGATTTAACAACTTTTTAAAATATACTTTATGATTAAATAACTTGAAATATTTTTTGCTACTGATCTATAAACTTAATTTATTTTATTGGCTTATTATATTTATAATAAATTTTCATTTATAATTAATTTTATTTAAACTATAAGTTTTATTCATAATCTTTTAATTATAAAAATAATTTTAATAGAAATAATATTACCTGTTTTATTATCATTGAAATTGTTATAAAGTTTGTAAGTTAAAATGAAGAATATTTATCTCTTATGCAAACTTCCCATTTACCATTGTAAGAAGCTAACAAAACAATATTCAATTCAGGCCATAAGAGTAGATTCTTAGGCATGTTTAAGGTGATATGAATGCATCAGTTCATCATATTACAATAGCACAAAAATTAATGAATATACAGACTGCATTTACTTGATGATCATAACATTCAAACAAAAATAATTGAATGTCGTACTTGTTTATTTATTACATAAAAAAATAACATATTATAAACGTTTTTATATGTAAAAAATCTGTTTGTAAATCCAAGGATTCTTTGAATTAAACAAACAATCTGTAAATATTTCTATTTGGAAAATTCGACAAAATATTTTATATTCTTTAATTTTTCAGATAAACTAATGAAATTATAAAAATTGTAACAACTTAAATTATAAAAATAACATTTATATCTACAATTTACATTTTATGTTTTTTTTTCTGCGTGTTCTCTTTTACTAGTTATATTCAAATAACTAAAAAACTGCCCTTATTATTTACTTTTAAAATTTACTTTATTAGAACAGCGGATATCAAATAAATTAAATGTGGTAAATTAATTAATTAATTTAATCATCGTGGAAGATTATGTTTTTAAAGTAAGCATTATTTCATTATATCCAAAACTAAATTATAGTGATTCACAAAACTAGGCCATAGCCAATAAAATTAATTTTATTACTGAACTTTCTGATAGAGTGGTAAAAAATATTTGTATTATTAACGGAAAGAAATCTAATGGCAATCATAGTTTAGATTATGCAAACTCAGTTTTCACTTATCTTAATCTATCTATTAAAGCTACAGGCGTTATGCGTTTTAGGAATAAGCCTCGACCACTAAAAGTTACTTTACCTGATGCTACTCTTGTACATTAAGTACTTAAAGCTAAATCCGGTCTTCATAATATACCTTCTTTAAAATACATGTCTGTAAACACGGATAAAGCTCCTATGTAACAGCAACAACTAAAATAGATTTCTTAAGAACTACTCTACAAAAAAAGCAATGGTGATATGAACATTCAAATAAGATGCGTCAATAGTCTATGCATTGATCTCAAAAAACTGAAATGTTTACGCCCGTCTACTTTTCTACTCCAACGGTGCATAATTCTATTCATTATTTTTCAATCATATGTAAAATATGCTAGTTAAGAATATTTATAGAAAATATGGCTTTTTGGAAAGAAAAGATCTTAGATGAATATTTTAGAAAATGAAATACACGTCGTTATTTTTTTTTTTATGATGTCGATATTCGCAGATACGCAGCATTTATTATGAATAATAGTAAGACACAATATTGTCAACTTATAAATACACCAACTGGCAATACAGAAAGCATACCTATTAATAAAGTCATAATTGACAATAAACGCCCCGAATCTGTGATAGTGAATTCATAAAAAACCAATTAGCTACCTGCATTTGTAATCCCTCTTGTATTATACATCTATATTAACTCAAAAATTTGAAACTATAAAGTTTTCTTTATGTCTAATAAACGAATAAAGCAATATTAAAAATTCAAATACCATTTTATATTAAAATAAAAACCTAAGCTAATATTTCAAGAATAATATGTAAGGCAACCAAAAAAAAAAAATGTTTTAACTATTTTTATTCTGCAAGTAATTGAGGTAGTTTTGATAAAAAAATCAACCTGTATATATAGAGATAGAGGTATTTATGTGTAAATTATTTTAATAAATAAGTAACATATTAAACAAAAAATAAATAAATTTTATAATAACTGATTATACAATATTTATTGTCATGTATATGCTTATAAAAACTTATCGTCTTCTACGACGTCCCCATCTAAGTGGTTGACCAACTGGTCTATTTCCTTTGGATGGCACATCTGAATCTGGGAAAAAAGAACTAAATGGTGATCGAATTACATGTCTACCATTGCCACTCATTTGTTTCCATGGTTTCCAATGTGTAAGGAACGATAAAGCTCGTTTTCTATTTTCTGCAACATAAATTTATTCAAACACTATTTAATTTCATAAAAAAAAATTTTGTTATTTATAAAATAAAAATTGTTTGATTGATTCATTTTAATAAAAATATTTATAGTAATCAAATCTTAAATTTTAAAACTTAAAAATTTTTGATTTTATAAATTTTTTAATAGTTGCAATTTGAATAAATGTTTTAAAGCGCTAAATAATTTTTTTCCAACCTAAAATACATTTTTGTGTAATAATAAGTATAATATAAAAAAAATGATCTCTTTTAATATCTATAATTGTTAATACTAATTAGTTTTTAGACTATAAACTATAGATCATAAACATCCAATTTTCACGTTTTCTGTTTAATTCCGTTTACGAATGCAAAGATTTGTGAAATACATAATACTGATATTTTAAAATTTTGTATAATAATTATTCTTTGTTTTAAATTAGATGGCGGGGGTAGAAATTATTCTTTGTTCCAGTGTTTATAGTGCGTTGAGGGTCGTTTTAAATAGTATAATCTGGACTGGCTATGTCAAACAGATAATTATATGGAATTATATATATAGTGGCTGTATTGTCAGGCATAATAAAGTTTTTCAATACTGAATTATAATTACTTCTATTCTTATCTTGTATTTTAAGGTTCATAATAGTTAAGCTGTAAAAAAAATGTAGAAGATGCTCATCATTTATTTACGGAAAATGTATAGTAGCTACCAAAGATGAACATTAGGTAGTTAAAAAGTCAATTATTTTTACAATTAACTTTTAAACTTAACTAGCTTAATTTATTGTTGACATAACTTAAGTTTTATTAGTTGATTAGATAATAACCATCAAGCTGACATTAATAATGTAACAGAAATTTTTGGCTGCATACGTAGTTTTACAAGAAAATAATCCAATCAATAATAGAATTTTAGAAATATTTCTTAACTAAAAACAATTAGACTAAGCTAGATTGGAATAAAATATTCAAAACATTGATGTAATAAGATTGTTATATCAATTACTCTTAAAATAATATTATTGTGAATATTAATTTGAATCAATGTGATATTATTAAGGTAACCAATCCATTCAAAATTTAATATAATTCTCAAAATGTTTGAATAGGATATTGTGGGGTGAGTATATGTGCATGATAACAGCTAATAAAATAACATAAAATATATAATACATTTTTATTATTGAAATATCATTAAAATATATTTGTTATGATTTTTTATTTCAGTTCAGTTAACAAATTTTGAACCATTTCGTAATGAGATCTTTTAGACAAACGAGGTAACACTTGTTAGCTTATGAAAAGGACTTAGGTTCAAATACCTATGAAACCTGATTTTTTTTACGAATAAAATTGAAGTTTCGTGATACTTTGTTGTGTTGGTCTGAATTTTTAAAAAAATGTATTCAATACCATATAAATCGGAAAGTACCTAACGCGTTAAATAAAGTAAAACTTTCGAAATATAAGAATGATTTTTAATTTAATAATCATCATCAAAAAAAAGATATTGAAATGATAAACTGTACTAATTTATCCTCGGACGGCAAAGAGTATCTATGACTCTTTTAAGGTAGTCAATAACAAACTATTGATTTCATTTATTTATTCATCATGTCTTTAATGCTAAGGCTCATGTATATATTTTTAATTCTTCAAAGAGTCATTTAGGAAACACATTTTTAATTTAATTTTGTTTCATCTAAGAACTTTATTAAGGTGTAAAAATTTTTTATTGAAGGTTGGAAGATCGTATTCAAACGGTTGGATATCTCAAGCCTTTCATTCTCATCTCTATACTTTTTGTATTAGGTCAGAATGTGTTTCACTGTGAGCTCCTCTATACAGGTTTTGCATGTAGATGATTCTATTTGACTCATGAGTGATCCTAGTGTGTCCAATGCGTAACATATTAACTACAGTAATTTCTATCCTTTTAAATTTTAATAGATTTTATACCATCTATAAATTAATCTTTTGATTTCCGTGATTTTAGTGGTTTGGTTTAAACGGTGATATTTTATTTTTAAATCATATCTAGTCGAATAATCCTCAAAAATTAAAAAAATTTTCCTTGTTCCCCATAAATGAGAGGAACCACCAAAAAAATTACAAATTTAAAAATCGCTAATTTTTTCAATTTTAGCTTCGATGCGAAGCTGAGAATTGGTTTTACTATGATGTGTTTTTTTTTTTTTTTTTGTGTCTGTTATCACTTTTTCTCAGCTCTCACCGAACGGATTTCTTTCAACGATACGTCAAAAGATCACAAATCGTATCTAGTCGAAGACATTACCCTTCAAAATTGAAAAAATTTCCCTCGTTCCCCGTAAATGGGGGAAACCTCCAAAAAAATTACAAATTTAAAAATCGCTAATTTTCGAAATTTTTTCAATTTTTTTTACTAAAAACTGCCGTAACTTTTTCAAAAATGAACATATCAATATAAATTTTTTTTATATAGATGCTTGATGTCTTTACCTATCATTTGGTATATTTTTTTTGTAAATTTGACCTTTTTTCGGCCCACGGGGGGGATTTAAAATGAGAACTTTTTCAAAAAAAATTTACTTTTTCAACTTAACTTTTGAAAATGTTCCGGAAGGTCTGACACTTTTATATATTTCTTAAATTAAAGCTATTGTAATGTACTTTAATTTGAAAAAAAAAAAATTGTCCCGACACGTGTAAATTGTCACTAGAGTTAAAAAACATGGTATTTTTGTGTTGAAATTTTTTATTTTATATTTTAGTTTTCTAATAAATAGAAATAACATATTGAAAAGTGTATGGATTAACATAATTTTTTTATGAGAAATAATATTTTTTAATTATCCCTTTTTCATTCGACATACTTTATCTTAATCAGGATATTAATAAGGAACTAGCAGATTATGTAGNGATATTAATAAGGAACTAGCAGATCATATAGATTTTGGAATAATCCACCAATTTTTTAAAATTAAACACTATCTAAAGATTTGCATCGAAGCAAATTTTAATAGTGATTTTAATCACTGTCAGATATCATTATACTTGATCCAACTAAGTCACGTCACCACTGTGCCGCGACCCCCCTGTGCTAGTTTTTTTAATATGTATTTTAATGTTTGCATAAATCATTATATTTATTAATGTAATATCGTCCTCCATTGATACTTATATTGTTTTCCTGTCAGCTCGTTCGTTTCCTTGGATATCCTAATGTCCACGTATCAATATTAAGACTATATACCTTTGTTTGAAGATTTTACTATGATGTGTTTTTTTTTTTTTTTTTTTTTTTTTT